ATCTCATAGATCTTTGAGAAATCTGAAAGACAGGAAGAAACACTCCAAAATTCACTTGGAGAGTATGCGCTGCAGTGTTTAAATAATGGGTCCTGATTGCTTTGCTACAGAGAGGATTCAGGTTTATCTACAGTGTCAAATGGTTCCTCTGGAGACATGGACTTTTGTAGTAGTTCTGCAAACTGCAGCATCATTGTGTTAACTGAAAGCACAGTGACAGTGGTATTGTGCCAGCTGAGGCTCCTTGGTTCACTGTGGGGTTGGCTTAAGTCTTTCTCTAAAGGAGGATTTTGGAGAGTGAAGAGGTGTGAAAAATAATTTGTGGACAAAGTTGTATTTTTTCCACATAGTCTGCACAGGAGTTATCTGTACATGATTCATAATTCTGTACAGGCATTGAGTTTAAGGGGTGGGATTGGGGTTTTTTTTGTGAATGTTGAGAGAATGCAAAATTTTATTTTTTCATATTTTTTTTAATCCTAACATAGCATCCTCAAAATGCTTCTATTCTGAATATCTTTGAAGCTATTAGCTACTCAGACTGCCTTTCCTTTCTTTCAGGTGGCTTGTGTAAAGGGTGCAACAACCCTGATAAGTCAACACAACCTCTTTTATTTACCAACCTTAGAAGTCTGTAGAAAATTCCAGTCATGGCAAAGTTGTATAGCCTGCAATGCACAGTATTCTCATGCTTTTCTGGGCTTATAGTGCTCACTATCCACTTTAAAGTGCTAATTTTGCTGTCTGGTATTAAGTGGTTTTTAGAACTACCCTTGTCACAGGATGGTAGGGTACTAGAGGAAATCCATCTTAAAATAGTGGCATAATTCTCCTACATACGTGCACAGCTGAAACAGACCATTTTCTTGCCTTCTTTCATAGCTTTTTTCCCCTTGAAAAAAGAAAGAGTTCTACTGCAGTCTCTGTGCATCAAGGACAAGATAAACTGTTTCCTTTTTTCATTTCCTGCCACTTCATTCTTCTTTCAGGACTTTTCTGGGAGAAAGGAGAGGTCAGTATCCAGTTGTCTGGGAAAAGAAGATTTAGTTACAGATATTTAAACAAACCCCAAAACAAACAGTTTAGTTGGTCACACAAGGAAAATAAGATGCCGAGGTCATCCTCTCCTTCCCTCATATGGTGTCCAAGTAACCCTAAACATCTGATTATTTTTTTCTCTTAGCTTGCCTCTATGTTTAGCTCTGTAGTTTCTGTTAACAGCACCCAAAATGGATATTGTGAGAGGCAGGCAAATGTACCTGCCCACAATGCTTGAGGACAGGTGTCCTGCCATAGGAGTGGAGGAAACAGGATTGGGGCTCAAGTGCCACTGTTCCTGCCACAGAGGGGAATTGCTTGTGTAACAAGGGAAAAATATGCAGGGTGGCTGGTCAGGGGGCCATAGGAAAGTCTATCATGAGGGGATCAGTCTTATGGCAAATTGCACTTAACCATCAGGATTGTTTCTAGGAATCCTTTTTTGTGGTTGCAGGAAACTACATTTTGTGTTCAATTCTGCTTGAAAAGATTCATTTTCAGACAATGAACATGGATTGATGAATTCTTTCTAGGTGTCAGGCAGGTTTGTGACTTCCAAACTTTTGAAGTTTTCAGCTCACTCTTGACTGCTGACCTGCCTTCAGCAGACAAATGACTGTGACCCTGAGGAGAATAATCATATTGGAAGCCATTTAATGATCTGCTTCCTTCAGAAAATGCTTAAAGATTGAATGCATTTAAATATCAGTCTGCTTTTTGGACCTAAATGTTATTAATGTAGGGTAAAGAGAAGTGTCAATGAAGTATCTGTTCTTGTACACTAACATGAAGTTTCACCCTGAAAAACCCTTTAGTTAGGAGAAAGACAGCAGGACAAGAGATGCTGCTTTAAGGCTCTTTAAAAAAGCTGAGGCTGAGTTTCCGTATTTTCAAGTACTTGAATACCATGGCAACAAGAGCTTCAATGCTTGAGTTAATTGGGGACAGAATTCAAATAGTTTCCTAGGAGGTGTTCTCTGAGAGTTTTAAAGTGGTTTGCAAATCTGAGGTGGTCATGGGTGCTTGTCAGAGAGAATTTCTTTCCCTGGACCTGACTCCCAATTACTAGCCAACAACCAGAGCTCTTTGCAATGTTCCCTTCCATCTTGCAGATTCCCACATCTGTATGGGGTACATACCATTGCAGGCCATACTAAATTAAGTTGCCACATCTGTGAAAACATTTGCTGGGCTACAGCAAAATCATACTTAACTCCAGATAAGAACTAAGAATTTTTTTTTTAAATTAAAATGTGAAGTTCCAGTCAAGCAGCAGAGTTGAAAGTGCAGCTAGCTGAGAGGGCATCTCTCTATACCAAGACCATGATAACAGTCATTGGCAACTCATCCTGATTCCAGAGCCAGCTACATACATATTACTGATAATGAAACATGAAGCTTATTTCTTGCTCTTGAGAGGGATCAGATATTGTAAGTACCAAGATGAGTAAGGACGTGTTGACATCTTGAAGTGGGGATTAAGTTACATCATAATCAAAATTTGCTAAACTTGGGAGAATCTCCTCATTACTGCTCTTGCTGGGGTTATGAGAGGCATGGCTCTTTGAGAAAGGAATAAAGCATTGGTTTCAGTGATGGGCTGCTTTAACATGAGGATGTTTGAAGACTCTCAGATGCTTTAAATCAAGGAGTTGCTCAAGTGTAGCCCTCCTCTAGCCACACAGGTGACATTCTTGTCTCAAATGTAGTACTTTGACAGTACTGTGCCTGTGGTACATACATTAGTTTAGCATTCTATATTATAAAAAATGGTGACACTAGTTTCTCCCATTTAATTTTCTAGAAGAGGTAATTTACTTCTTTCTTATCTTAACAGCACTTGAAAAGAAAGTGCAAAGGAGGTGTTTCCCTCCATTGGCTCATCTTCACTGTACCTCTCCCATTCTGCTTCCTCCTCCTTATAATCCCCAAGTGAAGATGAGGAGCCTGCTGCGAATATGACATCCGTGACTAGTGTCATTGCCTCCCACCAGTCTGAGTGGGTGTCCTTCAATGATGAGCTGATCCTCCCTGTTAGCCCACGAGGTAAGCTGTCTGATTTTCTTTGAAACCGGTGAGACTTTGTTTGAATTGGACCAACTACTATCATATATCTAGCGTCGTAGAGCTTGGCTTCTAAGTGGAAGCAGTATGTGCAGAGGTTGAATTATCTCCTGCTACCCCTATGTAATAGGAGAATTTGGGTCAAAAAGGTAAATTACTCTCCTAATGTGATCTAATGTAGATCTATAACAGGTTTTGGATCTGTCCTTCGAAATTCAAGGCAGCAACTAACTGACCATGGAGGAAATGTCACCCATTATAATCAAGTGCAAAACTATGTGCAGTGTTAATCTAAAAACTACATTAGGTAAAGGAGAACTTTCTACAGTTAATGGCAAATTTTTGATATTTCAATAAAAAACGGTGAAGTAATGGTGAGTCCTGCCAATCTTTCTGTGTCATCTCTATTTTAGGTAGCACTGAGGAGCCTCTGGAGAAATGTTTTAATTCCTCAGACACCTCCCCAGAAGAGAACCAAAATGCAGATGGAGAATTTAAAGACCTTTTCTGCACACAGTTGGAAGAGGCAGCTGACCAAACCAAGGTGGATTCTGCTGTGCTTGGTAACCGTGTGTGTCCTAGCACTGATCTGTCATCATCCATCAGTGCTTGGGTTCAGTTTGAAGACGCCTCATGGACTAGTGCTTCATCAACCCACCCACAAACAGGTGAGGCAAAAACAAAGAAAAGGTCCGTTCCAGTAATACAGTAAGAGCTTACAGAATTTTTCCTTGCTCTTTGGTTTCTCAAAGGTTGACCTTCGACTAGTTTGTACTGTATTTTAACACAACTAATGTCATCAGTTTCAAAAAGGGCTCTCATACTATCGCTTGGGGTTGCACTAGCAATATTTTATTTTTATAAAGAAAATGAAAGCCATCTGTGATTGACTCCACCTATATCTTGACTAAGTTTTGGAAACTGCCAAAGTGCATTAATGGGGAAATAGCATGAAGGTGTTTTCAGTAGTGAATTTCATATGTAGAGGTATGAACAGCCATCTAAAAGGTCTGATCCGTGTTTGTCTCTGTAATCTGGAACTGAAAAAAGGGTGATCACTGTCCTCTGTGGTCGCAGTCTTTACCTGCTCATAGTCCCCATAAGGTTTTTGCCAGTTGAGACCAACAGTGTTCCAGTGCCCATCAGTACTTTCTACTGTCTTTTGATGCTATGATTTAGCAGCTGGAGAACTACAAAGACAACAGAAGTTTACCCTAATTCCATTACTGCGTGCACTTTTCTTCAAATGTGACAGTTTTTTCTGACATACTTTAAACATGCATGCAAAGCCTCTGGTTTGCCTCATCACCTTATGCTAACTGATGTGGCTATATGAGCTTCTAATTTTTATGTATGAACAGAATTCTTCTGTGTAGGAGGTTATGGAGTAATTGCCCAAGAAAACATTACTTTACTTTTGCATGTTTAAATTGAGATTATCTCTTAATATTTCCACTTTGTGACCGCTAGTTATTGAAGTAGTTTAAAGACTTATAGCTTTACTCTACTCACTGAGTCCATGAAATACTCCCTGTGACATGAATAATACTTCTGTTAGAAAACTTGGATTGTCAGCTTTGGGTTGGATTTTGGGTAAACCCCATCTGGTTTTCCATCTGTTCTTTTGATGGGTGCTGCAGTCTAGTCCATTTGAGACAGTGGTTGGACCTTTGTGCAGGAGAAGTGTGTGAATCTTCTGGCAAAACTAAGTTTCCCTGACCTTTTTATCTTTATATTTATTTAATGGTTCTTATTCTTAGATGTAAATATTTACTCATCCTAGTGATGTGGAGAGAAGGAAGAGCATTTACACCAGGAGTGTAAATCTGTAAAACTGAGGTGCTCTACCTCTCTCTGTAGTTTCATGGTTAAGTGAGCCTTATGCTTACTCCTACAGGCACATACTTTTTCAAATGAGGCTGTTGGTTGCTCTGACACCATATCTCCTTCCCAATGCTCTTATGTCTTTCTTAACTGAAAAACTCATAAATGCACCTTCTTCTTAAATGAAAAAAACAAAATCTTTACTCAACATAAATAAAGCTAGTCATAAGAAGGAGACTTCCATAAAACTAATTTTATGATGTATTACTTGATTTCCCGTCCTTAAAGGGGTGTGGCCTAGTCTTAAGATATGTGCTTAGCAAAAGCACTGCCTCTTGGTTTGTGTTTTAAGTCACAGGGGATGCTAGGCTTTAGTCAGAGGTCTAGGATATCCAGATGAGGAAATTAGAAAAGACTTTCCAAAAGCAGTGCAGTTTTGAAGAAGACACTAATTTGTACCCTTGTAGAAGCTTGTTGTATGTGATCTGTGTCACCAAGGGAGGATATTTACACACTAACTTTCAGCATCTGGCTGACTTTCATGGAGGAGGGTGATTCCCCTAGCAGTCAGATCAGGATGTGCTCCATGTAATTCTTGCATGGCTGTTATTCTTTGATCTGTATAGGAACCCTAAAGAGGTTTCCTAAGGATATTTTAAAATCCTTGTTTATGAGCTGGTCCTACTCCTATTCTCTATTTATAAATGGCCAGAGCAGTGTAGCTGACAGCCTCTAAAGGGAAGGTCGTGGGACAGAAGAGACGACAGCTCTTTGTTTCTGGCCCTCTACTCTGAGGGACATTTGACAGCAAGAGGTAGGATAAACTTCAGCCTAGTTGTTCTCAATTAATCTGCAGATCAAGTCTTTTTTCTATGGGCGGCAGCAAAGCTGGAGACTTTGTGTTACAACCTTGCTATGCTAACACACTCAGTGGAAAGCCTGTGGTGACAGCAATTATTCATTTCCAGTAGCAAACAGGCTGCATAAGAACAATAGCAGATACCCACACTGGGGGGGAGAAGAGTATAAGGCCAAGTCTGAACAGAAGGAGCGGTGTGAGAAGGATGGAGATATTTAAAATCTGTTTCCTGTGCAGGCAGCTGTGAAGAGCAATGTCCTGAAGGCTCAGCACCCCTGGTACCATTCCTGTCAGGGCTCCAGCACTGTCAGGAAATTGTCTGTCTGTCTGTCTGCACTCAAGCAACTGCTCAGCTGACTCGATAATTACCCAGGCTGATGGCCAGGCTGCCTGGAAACACATTTTGAAAAGGGCTTGCAAAGGGGATTTCCAGAGTGCCGGGAGAGCAAAGAGGATGTGTCCTAGGAGAGAGAGATTTTGTCTGACTTTAGGGCTACGGTATTTTTGCATTGGTTACCTCAAAAGCAAATACTTGTCCAGAAGTGCTCACAGTCTAAAAAAAAAAGGCAATATAAAGACAACTGGAATGAAGTTGTTATCCTATGGGAACTGTGTTTAAAAGAAACTTGAGGCTAATGCTGGACCCTTGTTGTCCTGGGAAAAGTGAAGACATTATTGGAGTAGGAGGAATCAGGGGAACTGATAGCAAGAAACAGGGCTGAAAAAACAAAGGCAAAGAATTTGGAAGATGAGAAGAAAGGTCAAAACCCGAGGTGTAGAAATGAAAAACACCCATAGTGAGCCTCACAGTAAAAATTATCTTTATTTAGGATGTTCTTGTAAATTTTCATTCTACCAGGTTCAGGCTAAGCAAAATGTTTGTTTCAAAATATTTCTACATTTTGGATTTATGCATAGTTAACTCACAGCTGCCAAATCATGTATATTTTTCCCCAAGAAGCAAAAACTGTTGAGCGAGGCCACAGAAATATTTAGTCACAGAAATTATGTGTTGTGGTGCCCTCTTCCCTGTTTTCCTTTTGCTGGGAAGAGAAGAAATTTATGTTATTATCAGGCTAGTCAAACTTTTCAAACTGATACTGCAAAAGTGAAAAATGAGATTTTTAGGCTCATATGAATGTTCCTATCACAAATGTTACATAATCTGTAAATGATCACAGCCAGTGGGTGACATAACATTTGCATTTGTTACACAGTGGGCCTCCAGCTCATAATCTCATATTCTGTAGGTGTTATCTGCACTCTTCAATTCAAGGAGGTATTCAGCAAAGCACCAAATTAGAATAAGGCAAGATCTGTTACATTATCCATCCTCCACACACACACACACAGAGCCACCCTCACTTCTTCCCAAGAGCTTTGTCTGATTTTAAATGGCTCAAGTAACTTGGACTCCTACCATGTCCCTTGAGAGGCTGTCCAACAGTAAGGCAAATCTCAGCTTAACTATTTTGGGCTGTTCTGTCTGAAAATAGGCAATACATGCAACACAAGATCAGCAGCTGGAAACTAGACCAATGGTGATGGTGTGCTAAAATCAGAAAAATCTGAGGTCCTATATGATAGGAAGGGAAATGATGCTGACAAGGTTTATTGTAATACAGCGTAGGGATCAAGGAACGGGTCCTCAAAGTTTTAAGATAAACCTGCATATTAAAGGCCAATCAATTGTATTAAGAACAAACATGTCAAGAAAAGTAAAATGCATGTGGAAGGAAAGATTTTTCAGTTTGGGAAACAACATGTTGATTTTCAGTAGCCAACGTGTGCTACAGAATTTGCATTTTAGGAATAGTTCTGGCAGTGGTCTTTCAACATAAAGAGATTTCTGAGAAATTCTTGCTGCAGAGAGGCTGGAACTCTCCATTTATTGGCATTAGAGACCAAATTCAAAATTTCTGCAAAAAAAGCCCTACTTCATTTAGAATTTGGCTGCAGCATGTCCAAGGAATCTGAAGAGGGACCTTAAACATGTGTAGATGTTGACTTTCGCTTGTCCTGCCTTTTGAGACTGATAGATGGTCTTTTGCCTCAGCATAGGGGAAAATGCACTTTTACTAGTTCCAAGGGTTAGTGTTGAGGAACCTAGAACAGTCACAGGTGGAAGTTGACTGTAATAAGGTTTCAAAGAACATCTGTTGCAGAAAAAGCTGTCTATGGTTATGGTTTTCCAATGACAAGACTTTCTTTAGAAAAAAACCCCAAACAATTCCATTATTTCAAAATAGAATTTGCTCCTATATAGAAGTATTTGGCAACACTAGTCCAGTTGGTTCCCCTCTTAGACAAAAATTCATTTTGGAAAGCACAAAACTAGTTGGCAGTATATGAGTTATTTTATCATATGTGTTTCTAAATTAGCTTATGTTTGTTCATGTTGCTGACTTTAAACAAAAAAAGAAATACTGCAAATCCAAGATCTTTTTTTTTGTAAAATAATTCCACAGTTCCTAGAACTCAAGATATAAAGCACACTGAGAAAAAAAACTTGGCTCTTGTTAGTTATTCACATACGGAGCTCAGCTTTTCAGCTTGTCCAAATAAAGTGCTCTGTCTGTCAAAGCAATTTCAGGTGAAGCTTTAAGCATGGCTTTTCAGGTGCCTCATGCCATGTTTAACAAAAGGACTGAGAGAGGGACTGACAGTTTATAATCATACACTCATCATCCTTTCTCTACAGGCACCAAGCACAGCACAGTGTGCAGTTACTGGAGGGAGAAGTGTGGGGTTTTGGTCATGTCTCTAACACAACAACTGTCACCCTCTGCAATAAGGAGACAGCTCTGACTTTCAGCTCCACATCTTTAGGGAGGACTATTCAGAAGCTGCTCAGTACAAAGGCTCATAGCTGTAAACATATAAATTTATCAGTGCCTGCTTACTTAGGCTAACAGTGCAGATATGTAAAATAAACTAACACATCTCAAAAAGCAAGCAAGGGAGCACTGCTTGGATATTCCCTCTATGCACACAGCAATGTTTCAATAACAAAGAGGTGTCCCATCACATCATTTGGATGGAGTAGAGAGAGATGAATCCTCTTTAACATTAATTTACCATTTTCTTCCAAAGTATCAAGTGACGTGGGCAAAGAGTATAAAATACAAAGAGTATACAGTACAAATTCATAGCAGTGGATGTGTAAGCTTCGGTTCTGAACTCTGGATGTTGATTAGGCAGGACTTAACTGTTTGACATGCAAGTCTGGCAAATGAGTAGAACAGGACTTTTGGTCTACACTGAGCAGAAATGTTATGTGTTATATTCAGACTGGGACACTCCACATGTTCAGAAACAAAAGCCATTCCAGTGCACATCAGTAGGTCAATTAAAGTTTATTTTTATACTCCTCCTCCCACGTGGAGAATTCCTGAGATGATGACTGCATTTGAGTGGGTGTCACAGATAGGTAGGGCTTAATTAAATATAATAGAACCACTTCAAAAAAATCTGTGGTACTATAAAAACTCCACTGTGTTGCACAACACACACATTCAGATCTTGTCAGCAGTGCTAGAAACTTGAAATCTTGTTCTGAAAAGTCACAGCTTCTCCAATACTAGAACAATAGGAAAGCATACATTTGCCAGCAGTATGGGATCTAAGGCAGACAGCTGAGTAGTGCTAGAAAGTCAAAGTACCAGGCCCTAGTTAAATTGTTGTGTGTTTGTTATAAAATAATTTTGTTGCTGTGGATGTTGGAATTTATATTTACAGTACCTCAGTAGGGTCTGATCTAGCATGTCTTTGGAATAATCATGATCTTCTGGAAGATCACTCTGTATGTCTCTAACTGATACCTGTTTTCTGCAACCAGTGTCTGCATCAAAAGTACCCAGCTGGACCTCCCCCTCTTCCAACTCTTCTGAGAGGCAAGCCCATGCCTCAGAGAGCAGCTGGACAACCAACTCAGAGGACACCAGCAGCCCAAGCATTGCTCCCTCCTACACAGATCTGCAGTCAATTAATACTGAGGACTTGACCAGTGGTAGAACATCTGCAGCAGATTCAGCTGGTAAGAGGGAAGTGTTCAAGCTTCCATCTCTATCTTTTTAATGCTACTCAAACTCACTGCTCAGAATTGAGCCACGGAGAATGGATCCAAAGCAGAACAAACTCAAGGATTAGGCTAAAGCTTTTTTCTACTCCACTTTCCAAAAAATCACACTTGGATTTTACACACCACTGATACGTGCAGGCTTCTGAAGTAAGAGCCAAATGCAACTATGTACCTGTTGGTGGACTTGGAGCATTTCTGGTTTTCACATATCACATCAGCTTAACCTGGTCTAGGAGCTAGTTTTCAGTATATTGTGGGGGAAGCTGGATGCCTTTCCTGAACTTCCATGCAGAAATTTTCTTAACTTGACGGTGTATTCAGGTGAGGCAGGTCCAGCTCTTCGTGCCCCTCGCTGTTTCAGTGAGTGCCAAGACACAGATCATTTACTGCATTCTTACATGCATTCTTTGTACTGTGCTTTGCACTGTTATTGTACAGTAATGCAGAGAGGGTGTAGGAGATGGCAGAGGGTGGTTCAGTAGCAGATTTCAACCATTTAAGGGTCCTATATCTGACCATGTAGGGCTACATTCAGATGGGAAAATGTGCTACATGGCATTGTAGCTCATTGCTCCTCAGCTGTACTCTAGGTAATCTCTGAAGCAGGAGAAATAAAGCAGAGTGGTGCCACTCATGTCATGCAGAATTGGGATGATGGGAACTCCTGAATGACAAAGTTGACTTTCACAGCACATAAAAAAAGCTGACATGTCAGGACATAAAAATGAAAAAAAAAAATACATAGCTCTAGGAGGAAGCACCTGCAGTATGTTGGAAGCTGTTCAACCCAAACTGAGGAAGGTTAGTAGCTACCCAGTTTGGTGATGAAAATTGATTCTTCGGTGTCACCATAGCTCAGGCATGTGAGATATTTAATGTGTTTTCTCTCAGGTGGTGAAAGTAACAATATATGTGAAATAAGATATGTTTTGGGAGAATGGATTCCTAAGCCTAGCTGAGGTCATATGTCCATTTCATAAGAAACATATACATACATCACCTACAAGGAGTATTATTTAATGGTTCAGTGAAGCTGGGTTGGACATCAAGGCAGGTTTATAAACAGCAGCATAGTAGGTACTGACTTAGTGCTTAAGACAAAGGATTTGTGGAGAAGTAGTAGTAAATTTGGATAAGTAGAGACATTTCTTTCTTCAAATAATAGTTACCAACAATCTGTCTGACTATTTTTATTTTAGAATACTCTGCTCGTCTGTACCTCTGAGTTGGGAAACCACTGGTAGAAAGGTAGAATAGGCAAGCTGGCATGGTGTGCCAACATGAGCATCAGTTCTGTTCTGATGAACTCATGTCTATTAGGATGAAGTGTAGTACTTTTCATCTGCAGTATGTGCTGGCTATTGCTGTTCTGTTGATTGGGTATAGGTTGCCAAAGGATCGCTGTTGTCACTGGGGCTGTCTCCATCTGAGCAAGGGGAATGAAGGATTCCCAGTCCATATATAACTTTACATCATATAGAAAAGTCAAAGGCAATAGTGCAGCTGTATATGCCTGGCATGAGTATGGAATTATGTCCTATATATGGCCAAAAGTGAAGTTGATACTTCAGTAAAAGCTTTGTGCGCAACCTTCTTACTGTTTCTTTCTCAGTCAGTCACAAATTGACATATTTATTACCAAGACAGATACAAAAACTCGTTCCAGTCACCTATAAATTTTTAAAACTAAAAAAGTAGGTAATATTGGCAAGGCTATGTAATTAGTTAAAACATAAGGTACACTACCTTAGTGGTACTCCAACTTGAAGTATGAAATATATTGAGTCTTCCTACCACCAGATGTGGAGTTTACAAAAGGCAGCATGAGCAAAGTGCATCTGTTTGTCCTGTTCCTGGGATGCCTCAGAGCCCACCTCTGAGGCAGCTGCTGGCATCAGGAAGGTTTATGGAGGTGAGAGGGCTGAGAACCTAGTGGCCATGGAACTGTTGTACAGTTGTGGCTGCTTTTCTGCTGTTCACTCTACCCTCATCCCACCCTCACAGTGCATAAGTGGACAAAAAAATGAATGACCACTTTCTTCTCTCCTTCCTCTCCACCTCTCTCCAGAAATTCAGTTCTTGACACCTGACTTGATTCAAGCATTTGATTTTTATTTCTCTTCTCAAAGGACTGGCTACCTCAGTCTGTAGTGGAGTTTGAAGGCTTCATCGAGGCAATGAAGTGGCATGTATTTTTAACATGAAGGAAAGGAGAGGAATCCTCATGCTCTATTTCATGATGAAGTCACATTGGCTGCTAGCCAGTATGTTGACTCCAAGGTCAAGCCTGATGAAGAGAAAAAAAATTCAGACTAATTTCACTGCTGAAAAACCCTATGAAAATAAGTAATCAATGTTTGATCTACTTAGTGATGGTGAAGAAGCAGATCTATAAAGTAGCTTGGGTCTAATACTCTTTCAAGCAAGAAAAACTTGGTGATGAGAAAAGCATGAAAACTTCTACTAAGCAGTCAGATGCTGAGTTAAAATAACTGTTTTAGCCATGGTGAATTTTTATTGCCTGAACAGCATAAAAAAGAATCCAAGATACTCTGTTCCATAATTTCACCACTTGTCTTGAATCTATCCTGCATGCAAAATGCTTAAACATCAATTGCCTGTGAGAGTTCAGGGCACAGGGGTTTGTGTGGGAGCAGATGAGAGCCTGAGGTAGGTCTAACTGCAGGCACATGCAGGGACAGTTCACAGCAATGAGAATTGCACATCTTGGTGTCCAGGGCTGGTAGGCTCCAAGGAGGTAAAATTGGCTGGGAATTAACTTTCTCACAACTGGCATAAGATTTGAGTGTAAAACAGTCTCATGGGCTTGAGCTTTATCTAGTGCATGTGTTTATGCAAGATATGGCCTAGGAAGATATCTGAGAAAGATGAGAGAGTCCCAAATGATCCCAAACTGAAAGTTTACCCTTGCAGGGGACTGCAGAAAGCCTCACAACTGATGGAGTTGGGATAAGCACAATGTCCTGTAAAGGCAACAGAGTTCATAGCAGTGAAAGTAAATGTTGCATGAGCAGAGCTGAAAAACATTTGGTTTTCTATCGAAGCGCAGCTGGAAGATGCTGCACTTTATTGCCTATGCTAGTTTAAACTCTGGCACCAAGAAGCCTTTGATATTATCCTCATCTTTGACACACGAGGGGCTATTCAGCCTGCAGCAGCTAGTCAATAAATGTGGGCATGTTTACATGGTTATAACAGCAAGCACTTTGCAACATCTAGGGTTTCACAGTGTGTGAAGCTGTATTTGGTGCTGGTGAAGTGGCCCCTCGCCTCAGCTTCTTACATGCCTCTCCATGTCGCTCAGCTTAGATCAATAACCATGAAAGGAAGGAGGAACTTTTGGCCTTTGTACTGTGCTCTGCAAGATAAGTAACACAGGACATCTCTGTTACTGATACAATACAAGTATTTGTTCATTCTGTTGCAGATGCCTGTCTCAGCTTTCTAAAAAGGCCAAATATCTACGAGTCAGAGGAGCAAGGGGGAGGTCTTCTTGTAACTGTGATTATAGATCTGGAAGCACTGAAATCTGCTCTGAGGTTGTGCAGAAATACCTCACAACTTGATTTGGATTTCTGCATTTCACCATTCTTCTCTAAAATAATTTTGTTTATATAAATTAAAAGTAAATATTGACTTGTATATAAAATAAAAATAATTATATATGGTCAATATGTATATAATAAATATATATATATATATATACACGTAGCTCGTAAACAGTATAATCTATTATAAATTTAATAGAATATATGATAGAGTCTATCTATTATATAATAAAACTATGTTCGTGTATGTCTGTGTATAGGCATAAGTTTCCTGGTAGCAATTTTAGGTGTGTTGTTGCTAGTTCTGTTGTTGCTGTTGTGATTTGTAGCTTGGGAAAGTTGCAGCTACACCATGTTTGATGTTAACCATTCATTTTGCTGACCAGTTGTTCTCTTTGGCATTCTCCTGAATCTCTGGGACTACTGGGATACCGAGGAAGTCACTATGTTATTGTTTTCTGAGAACACCTGCACGTTTGGAGATAGCAGGTTACATGTGTGACCCCGAACTGCCACTGCCGTGTGGCAGGCAGAGGCAGAAATGGCACTGTAACCATATAGTAGCAATGGTGCAGCACTGCCCCAGCTTCATAATGCACAGCAACATAGCCGGTGCCCCACAGAGCTGGTTGCACCCCAGGGACCCCATTCTGCAGCTCTTGAACAACAGCAGGATTCACCACTGGGCGAAGTTACCCACCTGAGAACTGGCATTTTCCACTGTCAATTCTACATGGCAGAGAAGCAAGCAAGGCTTCAACAGTAGCACCAATTAACAGGAGCTGTAAATTATTGCATGTGCTCTTGATTAGAGATCCCAGTTTTGTGTGGAATTTCCTGTCTGAATACGAAGGGACTGAATGGAACTGGCAGTGTAAAACAGCCAGTGAAAAGGCTGGCAGCAGTAAGAATGAGAAATTTCATGATGCCCAAATGCATAGATTTGCTTGTTTCTCTCTTACTGTGGTATCATCTGAAACCTAAGAAAGGCTCAAGCAATCACTGGACTATGCAGCACAAGAATTGGAAAAGTCATGATGGATGCCTATAGGGGATCAGTTATAGAGTCATCATCTCAAAGAACAGTGTGGGATACAATGGGAAGCAGGTTTGTCGAAAGAAGAACAATGTACAGAATCATTTAAGCAAAACGTTCAGCTTTTATGTTGATAATTTATTTTCCTTTGCCCACTTAGAAACTTGTTGTGATAAAGGTCCATTTTTATCAGAACTTCTGCCTCCTTTATTCAGTCTGGTGTTAGGAGAAAAGTGTAACATTCTCTGCTCTTTCAAGCCAGAAATGAGCAGAGTTGAATGATAGTACTGCAGGGAGATTGCTGCTTTATGTCTTTACTTCAACATCTCTGGTTTTTAGCTTATCTAACC